CTGATGACATCATCAGGGTTATTACTTCAGACTTCAGAAGACATCATAATAATAAGTGGAGTGCAACTGGAGTGTTCTTTTATCTTATCTGCATACATTTTGTTATCTAATCTTATAGAACAGACAGTGACTGCTGTCTTTGTCCCAGCCTTTCTGTTATAGCCTACGCATGCTAGCAGCAATCCTGTAGTATATTAGGCTATTAAAGGAAATTGCACCCTATAACAGGACTAGTATATGCTACATTAGTAAATATATTGCTAGGGTTTCTACTTATTTTACTAGACACACAATGCATTTATATATTAGTAGCTACATTTTCCTCAGATATCTAAAAACAAAAACAACCCCCAAAACCTTCGTCTCCAATCCTCAAAAATGCTTCAGTACGAGTCTTTCACTTGTGCAATTTAATCTCTCGCCTGTTGATGTCACTCTTGCTCCTCTACCACCCAGAGTCCCCTACCACACACACACACACAAACACAAACTACATACACGCGCTTCAAACCCGGATGGATGACTTCACCGTTCTGCCTGGGTTTCCTTTATGATCCCGGGATCTCCCACTTTCCTCACCAGACATCAGCCAGCAACACAGGCGAACACACCTCTCTCTCTCTCACACACACATACACACATGCGCTGTCTCTCTCTCGCTGCAGCTGCATACACATCCAGAGACCACAGAGAGACCACAACAACACCCGGACCTCAGACGCTGGCCCCTGGATCCACATCGAGTTAGACTCACAAAGGATCCCGAGCAGGAGAAACACCAGACCCGCTGCAGCTTACACACACAGAGAAAAAAAGGATCTACGGCTGTATTGTGCATATATAGCCACTGAGGAAGACTTTTATCTACTTTTTAAATCTGCGCTGGTGATCCTTCTCCTTTGTGCCACAATGTCCGAGGTGCTGCCATACAACGAGGGGAAAATGAGCGGCTACGGGGCGGACAGCGAGGTCAGTCAGATGTCCTTTAGCTGCGGACTGCAGGACACAAGCGCCTTTTTCTCCTCGTCGCAGGGGAAAAGACCCCCAAAGCTGGGACAGATTGGCAGAGCCAAGCGAGGTAAATGATGGTTAAATTAAAAACTCTACACTTTTGGCATCTTGTTACAATAACTGATACCTATTTCTGTGATGGCACATGAGCGAAATATATATGAATTCTGTTAAGCCTGCATTGCATTTAGGGACTTATAATGAGTTTATTTTAATTAATATAATCTCTTTTAATTCACGGTGTTTTATGCTGAATGTTCTATACAAATACACATATGGTATGGGAAAATGCACCACATGATGAATATATCTTTATTACACGAATATGTGGTTGACATTCAAACTGTTTACATACACATGCAGGAGAAATGATCTTCATACAAGGACACACCCCGCGTTATAGCCATCAAACAATGGAGTTAAACCGTAAAGGATAAAAGCCTGGCTCGTCGCCATTACTGGGAATTAGTTGTTTTCACCAAGCGCGCGTACCTGAGCTCGGGGATTTGGTTATAGTGCTTTAATTTATTTATTTATTCACCTGCAACCGCACCACAGTCACATTATGTTTTTTTTCCACACTTGCTTTGGTTATTTTAGTGCGCCATGTTCCCATCTACTACGGGTTATAAATAAGGCTCCATTATGGAAAGAAAACGTGACCTAGAATAAAACACAATGACCTCACTGTTGATTGGGATATTGTGTGTATCTCTGCTGCCACGGCCTCAGTAAACATCCTCTTCCCTTTCCCTCTCTCTCTCTCTCTCTCTCCCACAGTGGTCATCGAGGACGACCGAATAGACGAGGTCCTGAAGGGGATGACAGACAAGTCTTCACCTGGCGTTTAAAAACGTGAGCGATGCCTTGCAGACTTTTTAATTTTTGATCACCGATTTGAAGCACTTGTCGGCTGTGCATGTTCGAGGATTGCAGGAGAGAACACGACGGCACAAAGAGAGGATGCGATGACGGGAAAGGAAAAAAAAAAAGGAAAAGGAGGGAAAATGGAGAAAGCGAAAAAAAGAGGAAGAGAAATGAGCAAGAAAGAGATGGTGAAAGAAAGAGAAAGGAAGAGAGAGAGATAGACTCTGGAAAAGACCAAGATTTATCATGGGATTTGCTGGCAATTCTCCAAACGAATCCCGATTTTAACTACTGCTGCGCAGCAAGATGTTGAGATGGCGGACACTGCTCTGTATCTCAACCTCTGCTGACTTTAATGATGGATGAACTTGTCATTACTTCACGACCATCTCCTTTTTCCTTTCCAAAAGCGCTGTAAGCAACAAAAATACTGCAACTGGAGGCTGAAGCTAAAAATCCCAGCCCTATTTCAATAAGTTGTACAGTAGGTAGGCTAAGCTCTCAGACACCCCCCTCCCTCTCCTCTTCCTCCTCCTCCTCTTCCTATTCCTTTAGGCTTTGCTTTGTTGATTCAGTCAGCGACGGTGCATTCAAGGGAGCTGTCCTTTTCAGCACTGGTCCAATGCATTCCTGTTGCTGCTAAACGCTTTTTAAAAACAGACCAACCAAACTCTCGAGTCTACTAAATAGAGGAGACCCATTGTATGTAAAAACATATATCCGAGGATGGTGCAATGTTAATATTTTCTGTAGTAGAACCCTGTTTGTTTTTTGGCCCTTAAAGAGCATTAGGCCACAGTTTAAAACTGAACCACAGGCTATGTTCTTCTTCTTCTTCTTCTTCTTCTTCTTCTTCTTCTTCTCTTCTACTACGACTACTTCTTATTCTGGCATCACCCATCAGTGGTTAAAGGTGCAGGCTGGCACCTTCATGTAGCTGATTTTACACCGGCACATATCTTTGTTTTCCTCTCTCTCTCTATTTTTTTTTTGGTTTTGTTTTGCATTTTAAAAATGCTCAGATATCTACAGAGGCCAGCAGGGATGTGGAGATTATACTAAATGTTTAAAATAATAGTCATGAAATTGATGGGAAAAAAATTGTTTCTTTTTTTTCTTTTTCTTTTTAATTTAGCAATTATTCGTGTTTCGTCTTCTATAAATTTTTACGTTTTTTCTCCATCTATTTGCATGAACTTTCACTCCGGTGCCAACACAGGTGCCACTACTCTTACCCTGGCACGCTTCTTTTTAACAAAAGTCATATTTGTATTTTTATATCTAAATATTTGTTATTTAAATGATATGCTAGTCTATCGTCTTACAATTCATCAACAAAAATATTTCTACTTCAGAGAGGATATACAGAGGGAGACTAGGCTTCATACAGTAGAGGCAAATCTAAGATTTTAGTGGACTGGTCTCGTTCTATATCAGAGGTCGGACGTTTTTTAAAGACTAACTGAATGTGTCTGGGGTTTTTGCACACATCAATGTTAAAATATTATTAAGAAATCGTATACTGTGACTTGAGCTTCGTTGATGAATTTGTTAGAAAATGGCAGTTTTAGAGTATATTGCACTGTTTACGAGTATCCTCAAATAACATGTTGTTATTTGACCGATTTTGGACATTACAGTTTTTGTTTTTTAATTTTGTTTATTTTGTACCATTATTTTAAAGAAACTGGATATGGTTTGTTGTGCATGAAACCTTAATATTTTCAATAATGAAACATCGTTTTATGAAGCAAAAAAGCAACAAAAATGTCATGACATTCTAAGAATGAGTCATTGTATATTATGATGCCATTTTCACTGTATTTGGTGAATTAATAAATGGTGAAAGAAAATGTTAATGTGATTCTCTGGTATGGCTTTTGTCCCAAGACGTTTTTACTAAGAATTCAGTAGAAGATGACAAATGTGAGATTAGCCTTTAGATTAGCTTGTTCTGAGAATGAAAGTCGTAAAGAAAAATACACAGCACATCACATCACCTCAGCACAGACACGGTACATACAGGTAGTTGCAGAACAGGAAAGCAGAGTCCAATTTCTTTGCAGCCTCTGGAATCAGTAGCCATTACCTCAGTGACAGTAAATACTGATCCTTGATTAAAGAGCAGGGAAGGAACAGTGATCTATCTGTTAAGCTGTTAAGCAGCTCTGTGCTGGCCTACACTAGTGAATCCATTAAACCACAGACCCCGGGGGAGCCACAACTGGCCACATGATCATCCATCAAAGTCTACATGTACAGTGCTCTCATACTGTAGCTCTCACACAAAGTCTTTAGCAGACCTGCAAACACTGACTTTGATTGGTGCACTGAGAAAACCTACATCATGCACAAAATCACATGCTCTGTGCTTTGTTACAGTGTTTCCATCCCAACACATCAAACTTAGAATTGTTCAACAGCATTTGATGGAAGAGAGAACACAGTGGTTTTGGTGGATCTGTGGGATACATATGTAAATCTATATAAGACATTATTGTCCTGGAGTCTGTGTTAAAGTTTGTGTCAACCTTACCTTCAAACAACAACCACTTGGAGTGGTAGAAACTGGACATTTCAACCCATTACTTTTAGGAAAAGGTGTTACAATTGATTCTGGTTGGTGGAAAACCTTCTAACTATGCAGTCAACTAACAAGTTAGTGAGTCTCCGTGACAATAAATACACTAAACATTAGCATCACAGCCATTTTTAATCATATAGATGTGACAGGTTTTCAGTCTGGTTTGTTTATCTTTTGGAAAAACCTCCACAGTATCAGGACACATTTATACGCTACATGTCAACAATACGTGAACACTGATCCTTATATTGCTCTGAATTGCACTTCACTCTAATAACAGAACGTCAACAAAGCGTCATCTGTGTAGCCGACCACATTCCCATCAGTGAGATTATTGACTGTCCTGATAACATCGGCACTGCACTGAATGAACACATAGTGCTATCGATCATGTTGTTGTTGTTGTGTGTGTGTGTGTGTGTGTGTGCGTGTGGCTGTCTGAGGCCATGGACAATTACACTTTCCACAGTAATGTGCAGCCCTGGGAGGCCGGAACCGGACTGACATATTTGGGCAAATATTGAATTGTGTCAGTTCTGCTCGACGTCTCTCTGCCTGTCATGAGTGTGACTGTAGACATGTGACCTTTACAGTAATACAACAAATAGTGCTGCAATATTGCTCTCCCTTCAGTGTTGTAGCTTTTGTTTTTGTAAGATTACCAACAATTATCGCTATTCTCAAAGTTTCCTAAATCCCTAGACTCTACAAACCATTGACAGTGTGCTACAAACCATCTGAATGAAAAAATATTCTGTTCATATTCTGTTTAATATTCTCATTGTTGTCAGATTAATCTGATTAAAATAGAATATCTGGAACATCTCATGCAGCAATTTATGAGCTACTATCCACCGATGAGACGTATATCCAGTCATCATTTTTCAGCTTTGATGGTCAGAGGTCAGTTGGAGCTGTATCTGTAGTTGTAACCCAGGGTCTTTGTGGCTCCTGTGTACTGACCTGGCAGATGGGATGGGAGTGCAGGCCATGCTGGGGTCAACACAGACATGCTGTAGATGCCTCGCTAATGGACAGCCACTGTTGTAAAGTCTGGATGGAAAAAACATGCATGACAAAACAAACAAAATGCTAAAGCAGCAGCATAGACAGACCACTGTAAACAAAAAATAAAGTGCCATTGTCGTACTGTTCCCTCTGCTGCTATCTCTCAGACGCACACAGCTAAGAGCAAGTTCTAGATTCAAACTGAACGTGTGCAGTGAGGACAGAGAGCTTTGATCTGATTCCACTTACACCCTGTCCTGAGTGGACGTCCATTAATATTCCTCCTCCAGTTACATAAGACTGCCATACAGTATATTATGCCATTATACTGCCCCACGGTAGATGGTCAGATATACTGTGCTGTTTAAAGTACTGGCAGTCCTTTTAGCAGAAGGGTTTTCACTGACAAGGCTAACTGGTGAGTCCCTCCATCCGGTCTATACTAGTCTACTAAAACTGGCTACACGGGATGCAGGAAATTGTAGTTTATTACAAAACTTTATTTTCATAGTTCTGGCCATCTGTTATGATAAAGTTTTTATCACTTGGTACTTGGTACAAGATCTGGGGATGCGACAAAGTTTGACAAGGCAATTTGAATTGAATTGAATTTGAATTGTTCTAATCACAAGTTGGCTAAAGGTAAAAAAACAATCTAGCAAGGATACTGACGATGCCTTTGCCTGTCTTAGTCAATCACGGGACCCTTGCCTTGCAGGTCGTAGAAGTCCATCAAGAGTCTCCAACTGTCTCAGATGACAGATTAGGTAATAACTTTACTGTTTGCCTTTGCTGCAACTTCCAATTAAGTTTGACTTACCTGGAGGTTTGTTTAAAACCATTATAATTGTCTGACAGCTCATGTTTCTTGCCCCATTGGGCTTTAATAATGTTGCTGCATTCCCAGATCTCAGAAATGAGCTTTGTCAGAAGAATGTTTTTATTACAGATATAACAAAACTACAAAAATAGGACCTGTAAGAAATAAAATGTTCTTTTTTAAAAAATCCCTGAAAAGGCTTTGAGTGCAGTTGCAGTTAAGTAGGCAGTTCAACAGGGTACAAACAGGCAGTCGTGATTTGTCGTGATTCGGTTTGAACGCAAACACATACAATGTGGCAAATAAAACCCAGAGATGTTTGGTTAAAGCATGCATTTGACCTTTTGACTCACATGAGCCTTCACATAACACCCACACACCAAAGCACTCAGGGCCAATCGATGCAGACAGAGAGAGCAGGCTGGGGGTGGCGGTGAGAAGAGTGACTGAGAGTAAAAGAGAGACAGAAATACAGAGACAAAGAGAGGGTGAAAGGCATCGAGCATGCAGTAGATTAGTGTTGTTGCTGCCCTTGGGCAACAGAGCATGGAGGACAATTAGCAGCAGGAGAGAAGATTCTGGTTCTGCTTTCTCACACACATATATAAATACACGGCACTATATTAAATCATGGCCTCAGCAGACACCTGCATGACTCAGGTAATCAGCTGAAGAAACAAAAAACTGCACATTAAGATAGAAAGATTTGTGTTTAAGAGAAAATGATGACTAAACCTCTCCTGCATGAGGCCTGTGCTCTGCTCGGCAGTTATATAACTCCAGTCAGGTTAAATCTCACTGTCGGGGTTTCTGCCATTGCACATCAGTCAGTCCGACTAAGGAAGAAGAAAACCAAGTGTAAGAACTGCTGAATTTCAATATATTCATATATTGACAGAGCAGAAATGGAAGCAAGACTAAACTAAGTCCAACTGAGGAAAATGGCATCATGTTTTAGGGGGAAAATAGAGCAGAAAAGCAGAAAAAACTAACTTTCCACGAACCTCTATCTTTCCACTCTGAGTGTTACGTCCATCATGTTTTTTTATGTCCCAGTGCTGCAGTGGCTGGTCTGCACCCCTAAGCCTCTATTGTCAATATCAAACTCACTGCTACTTACATAAGCACCCTCCTGTCCTTCACCCAGCCAGGCCAAATAGGTGCCAGGCTGTTTTTTTTTTTTTTTTTAAGCCTCCTGTTAATGCAGCCAGAGCATTGCACCCAATCGTCACTATAGCAACCAGATAACAGCCAACGGGGTTTACCCAGAGACAATGCAAGGTTCTGGGGGGGAGACAGAGTGGGTGAGATTGAGACCATCAATGTAGTGTATGATGATAGTAAGACATTTTAATATGTGCAACTGTGTGTGTGTGTGCGAAGAAAACACAACAGTCAATCTCATCAACATCAAACTTTACTTAGTTGGGACATTTCTTTCAGTATAAAAGACAAAGAGGGAAATTTTAAACTTATTTTGTCCGAGCACAACAGATTAGAAACAGTAGCTTTAAATTACGTCACACATTCTTGCTCAGCAGATGGACTCCAGTTATTATGGAATCCAAAGATCTAGAAAAGCTCTTTAACTTTAAATGATCTTGTGGTGACATTGTTTTGTCAGTACTACCAAAGAGCACATCATTACACTACATTAGTGTGTGGGGTCACAGGTTACATTAAAAACATCCCTTTTTGCAACTAGCACATTCACTGAGTCGTTTTCTCCGATGGATGGCAGTCAGTTATGGATGCTACCAGTGTTTAGGGTAACATTAGCAGCTCTTTATTGAATTTGGGTACCTTTATTCCAGCAACCCAAACTAACATTACATGAGATAGCGTTACCTTTAACAAAACACACAAGTTAGTCCTCATCCTCACAAAACCTCTCTTGTAACGTTAAAAGTGAACGCAAACTCTGAAACAGTGAGCAGGCTAACCAGTCAAACATGGTTATGTAACTGTCTGTTCTTATATTTATAATGGACTTACATCTGCCTTTGTTGTTCTCTGAATGAAATCAAGGACTCATTGTTGAATTTCAAGAGGTAGCTGAGACCTTTATTATTGTAAGCTACACATGTGTTGTGGGGTTTAGCCAACAGTCAATCCCATGACAACTGGGCAAAATCAGCTCTGGAAGATCATTCAGTACGATCAAAAGCTCCAAAACAGCTACTGAACAGACCTCGTGGGGAGACTCGTTTACATACAAGTTAAGGTTAAACAAACTACCACGTTACACCAGCAAAAAATCGTGGAACGGAAGAGCCATCTGAAAAATCACAACCCCCCCCCACCCCCACCCCAGTCTTAAAAATAGGCGGTAATTAGATCTCAGTGGAGAATTAAAAATAAATGATTTCTACTTTATCAATGTGGTCCCCCCTCCAGTCACCAGCCTTCCTGCCTGTCTGCACGCCTGGCTCTATCTCCCTTTCTGGTCTATATTTAAGCAGCAGAGAGCACAGGACCCGAGACTGATCTCATGTTTCCTCAACAAATAATGTGCAGGGTGAGCCATTACTTGGATGGACATGTGTATGTGTCCACACGTAGCACCAGCGTGCTTGACAGGTGTGTGAAACACTGCACATCTCCATTAGCAAATTTTGTCTGGAATCTAAAGCAGACATGGGACAGATGTGGACAACCCCAACAGAAGGGGACACTCTGACTGACATATTAATAGACTTTAAAACTGACTTTACATGCAGGCTGGTGCTGCGGTTATGTACTGTGTCTAGACAGGCCAGTTTGTCTTGCAAATTGCACAACACTGGTAGGTTGTTGGATCTTTCTGATGTATAGGCAGGACACTGGGATGTAACACATTCTTATAAAAGCTAAAGGTTTAAATTATGAACTGCAATAGAACAGATGCTGATAGTAGCAGATTCGTAAAATTATGACACAGACAGAAGAACCATGATGAGTCATAGTTATTAAGAGTACAAATTACTCCATAGCAATCACAATTAAACTGTATAAACAATATAATCGTATAAACATTTATAAAACAATGTTCATGGTAGGATAAAGCAGAATTCCTTCCAGTATCTTTGGTTATATTAGGCAGTTGCAGATAATGCCGCTGTAAGAAGAGCCACTGCTTTTAAGATGTTGTCTGCCATTGGCGGATTGCTTTGTGCCTCTACTAGTTATCTTGGGGATGTATAAACGACAAATGAATGCATTCACCACATGGATTTGAGCATCCATGTTATCTGGTGCCGTCCGACCCACAACACCAGCTGACAAAGTAACCTGCAATTGGCAAGCCGGCCCCAGGAGTCTGGATGAAGCTAGCTATTTTTCTATATTAGCAAGCAAGCTAACATCAGCAAGCAAAAATCACAAGATCATAATATTTTTTAAGCTTTGCAGTTATGTTAGCATTGACTTTGACACCATTGACACTGTAGGGAAGCGGAGAGAGAAGGTACTGTCCCACATCCCTACATAGAAATAATAAAATCACACAGGAAACCAAGGACATTTAAAATCAGACATTATACAGATTTTATTTGTATTAAGGGTCCCTGGTGCTGTGTAGTTAAAATCCAGTATAAAACAAGTCCTCTGTAATCTTTCCTTGCAGACGTCTGTATGAACATCTATACCCAGACCTCAATGAAAATTACATTGTCGCTACTTCTTACAAAAGTCGTCATCACAGTATAGAGCTTATTTATAGGGATAATATATTCCTAAAATTCCTTTAGATAATCCAGTTATTTTACAAATCAATATTAGACATGAAGTCTTCCTCAGGGACATTTTGTGTTGTGGCGATCTTGGTAGGTGGGGATTTGGTGTCCTCTAGTAGCTTTTTCTCCAGAGCTGCATCCTCTGGGCTGAGCTCCTCTCCTTTGGTCATTACATACACAAAATATTCAAAGCCTTTTCCATAAGTATACTTCTTAATTGACCAGTTGTACTCTGTGCGAGCATAGAGGCGCTTCCTGAAAAAGGGGTTGGCGAAGGTGACGGAGATGAATCGTCCTCCAGGCTTCAAGCAGCGACAAATCTGGGACAAGAAAGAGGAGAGGAAGAGTGTTAGAAGGCATTACCACCAAGACTCTTCCCATCATCAATTACCTGCAAACTCTATCGCCACCTGAGCAGCTAAAGTTGTTGAATTATTTAAAACTGTTGCCATCAAAGTGCTCTCTATTTCCACCAAGATCATTTACACGTGTGATAACTGTACATAAAAAATGAAAACTGAGAATGCAATGCAACTAGGCTCAGCAGCTTCTATGGTCATAGCTAATGGTAGACGCAAAGAGACCGAAGAAGACGCTGGAGGAAGCTAAGAAGAGAAAAGGAAAGAGAAGCAGAGAGTAAAGAGTAAATCTGGGACTGGCTTTTAGTCGTCGGTGAGAGTTTTGTGAAATAAAAGTCTGCATACAGACGGTAAGCTGGCCTCATTAGCTAGCTTGCAATGCATTGTGTTGTTGCACTTGCTTGATGTTTGGCTGTGTTAGCATAGTTGTCGACTCGAAATGCATGTGTACAGCTGTCCATATTTACAACGGTGGTATTGCAACTGGGGCACCAAATCGCAACAAAAAACAAATCTTACACGATGTTGCTTTAAAACCGCTATAATCAACTGAAAACACACTTTTTTGCCCCATCTGTTGCCACACTACAGATACTTTGGCAAGTACAATGTTATCATAAGCGACAGCTGGCAATATGAAAAGAAAAGCCAAGTTGTACAAAACTAGGCAGTGTTGTGGGAGATGCTATCTTATAAATTAAATCAGAATCCGAGTCTCTGTGACTACTTGTTGTTTGTTAGTTACCTGAAGAGTAAATTCCACCTGTGCCATACTTCTAATGCACATCTGGCAAATGCCAAATTCCCTTAAATTCCCATCCCATCTCTACAGTCAGGCACAGCATCGCATCACCGTAAACCAGGGCAAACGCTATGCCTCAAGCTTTTCAGTCCACAGGGCTGGCTGCTCATCCATGCAGTCGGCTAACACGGTGTGACAGCACGAAAGCTGCATAGGTCCCTCTGTATGAATAATTGTTGCTCTGGGTCCATCAACACTCCAGTATGTTGATCCTTCGTGTGAGATACACGTGTGCACCACGACACCGACTGCAGAGCTGAGGCACTCAGGAGTACATACACATATACACAGAGTATATGAAAACTGACAGAAACACAAGTATGCAGAGACACATTTAGCTAGAGTCGGGCAGCGAGGTTCTCCAGAGACAGAAGTGTGTGTGGGAGTGAAGGGACAGAATCTGCAGAACACTGAGCAACAAACTTTTTGTATTTCACACATCAAACATGTAAACCTGGTCAACATATTGTCCAAATACATTGTTCGAGAATGATACCAGGCATACAGCTGATTAAATTGCAAGTTACATTTGATAATAAGTAACTAGTTCTCAGAGTTGTGGACTTGATTTGGACTTGATTTGACCAGTGACTTCACTTGTGCCTTTAAATTACTTTATTATCCTACAAAAAGCCCAGAGATAGAAAATTATAGCTATAAAAATGTGCAATAAATGAACTGACAAAGGATGTACTTTGGATCAGTCTGTCAGCAGCAAGCGCTTGGCAGTGCAGACAAAAGGTGACACCTCGGATTATCCCTGTTGGATAAAATTACTGAAGTGCTGTGGTCAACAAAAAAAAAACTGCAACATGCAAAATCAAGCTGCCCAAAAACTATAGAAATAAAACGACTTTCAACATTTAGGGCTTCACAAAGAATGGTGAGTTGAGGCTAACAATGTTCTCTAACCAGCTATGGCTTAAGTTAATATGACTCCAACGACAGATAGCTCACATTAGAAACTGCTTATTGTTGTCTTTAAAAGACTTAGGCAACCAAATCTTGGCAGCATAGGGGCAGGTCTTCTTGTGAAAAAAATAAAGCATTTTATCGATTTCTGATGTTAGCTATCTGTCATTGGAGCCAGCCGTAAAGCCTAACATTGCCAATGTCCCTAATTCCATTATGACTTGTTTAGGACCAGAAAATCAAGGTTTTGGCCTTGGACTTGTTGGTCTTGACCTGGGTGGCATCCCTTTTTGCAAAAAGGTGACATTGTCCCACTTATGTTCATTCTTTGACAATTAATGAACATTTAAAACCACTTAAAATGTTAAACGTGAAACTGATTTACAACAACTTGTTAAGAAACAACCACAGTGGCCACCGGAATCAACACAAACCACAACACAAAAAATTTCCTTGCAGGGGCTTTAACCAAATATAAAAATGTAAAATTCATGATTCACGTCATACACTGTGGATACAGTATATAGATATATAGTGACAAGCTACTCCGTGGTTTCTGTGGATGACTCCATGCCTGGCCTTTGAAGGCAGCGCTCACATGTGACTGTCATGAAAGCTGGAATGGTAATATCATGCATCCAGAGCGGAGTAGTAGTAGCAGACTGTACAATAAGCAGTGGAGGAGCACAGTGGCTCCCCCCTAAACTGTCCTAGGATCCTTAGAGAGTCGCTCTGAGACTAGCACGTGTATCCTGCTCTTCTCACATGATTCATCTCCACCAGCAAGCAGCCCGAACATGAATTATTCACTCTCCACTGTGACACAGAAGGAAAAGCAAGAGAAAGGGTGGAGGGGTCGTTGGCTGTGGGATAAAATGGGTGATATACTGTACAGAAATGGCAGAGAAAAGTGTGGGGTGATCTAGATTAGGGAGTGCCTGAGAAAGACATGGTAGAGATGCAAAATCATTTAATCAAGTTTAAGCCATAAATGTAGTGGATAACATATTTTTTTCAGAACCTTGTCTAGGTGGTCCAGAAATCTTAACTGCTCCTCAACCAAAAAAAAATATACTGTACATACAGAGTCAACAAACGGTTTCCTTAATCTGCCCGTTTCTGAGCTTCGATGTTGGATAAAAACTCACATATTGTGGGGAGAAATGTAATAAAACTACTGTTCCCATTATTTTGTGACGAGTGCAGAAGTATGTTTGCTGATCTGCCATTTTGAAAGAACACAGCACATTTAAAATGGCAAACAAGCATATATTTAAGTTTTGTGTCTAGTACAGAGACAGTTCCATGTCTGTTCTGCTTTTGACAGCGCTAGGCTGTTACCTTACTTTAAATGATTGTGCTATAGGAGCTTAAACAAGTGCTGGACCTCTTCTTGAAATCTTATCTCACTCTGGGTAAGGCAGCAAACAAACATAATCTTTGTCAAAATGCCAAATATTCCCTTAAAGCTGCAATAATCATTACATACATTGAACAATTTTGGCCACTATAAAGCCTACAAACATAAAAACAAGCGGACAAATTCACAGCTACCTCTATATCAACAGCTTACACTGATACACTGTACACACATACTACATACTGTCCTTCTGGTTTAGTTTAAACCAAATATTTGGGGTCTTCAGTGCTGGATAATTGACTATGTTAACCAATCAATTGCCAGCTTTGTCTGCCTGCCATTTGGCGGTGTGTGGGTAGAGTACAGTGTGCTTATTGGAGCTTTTTTGTTGAAAAGAGCAGAGGTTAATGAGACTGAATCATGCAGTAAATATGCAGGCTACACAAACTATTGAGGTAAAAGAGGCTAAAACACTCAGAACTGCAGAGATCGGTGTGTTTTTTCAATTTTAGTATTAAAACCATTCAATTTGGTGAGTGATTTAATGGGTGAGTAAAATAGACTGGGATTTATTCATTTATTATTAATTTTTATTTGTGTATATATATAGGACAACAGAATTGGAGAGGTTTGAAGCCAAAAATGACTTGTGAAGATACCTCCTCTGTATAAATATACTTTAAAAAGAGAAAAACTTTACACGCTGCATTATCCTGACTTCAACCCTTCAGCCATTATTCATGACATTGAGATGTATGGGTGCACCCTCTGTACCTGGGCTGTGTAACTCCAGAGCCTTATGTCACTGGCGATTGGAGAACTGACGTCATCGCAACCCGAGACGGCACTGAACTATAGCAAACAGCTCAGCTATAACCATGATCGCTTGCAGACAGGTTGGCACTCGGAGAACAGCTTGAACAGTGAATTCTGTTACGTTTTAGACAATTTTAAACGACACAAAGTCACACATCACATTACCCCATCCCACTTTATGTGTTTGCAGGATACATTACTGACCCATATTTTCACACTCCGCAAGGGCATGTATTCACAGGAAATCCTTACGAGGAGGAGGATGATGCATTGAGTGTAGTGAGTCACATTTACATACATTCTGAATGTATATCAGCACGCAGACTATGACAGCAGCTCTGGCACTATGTAAATCATCCACCCACACATCAGAGTGGTGGTATTATTATGATAACAGATGAGCAGTGGCAGGTCTGTTTGGATGTTATGTTCATCTGCTCTGAATGCTACAGATAAGAGGACATTTTTCAGCACGTGCAGATAAGCTGTAACGTATCTAAAAAGGGACAAATGCACAAAGTGTCTAATGTAGAGTCTCTCATCTGAATCAACAGGTCACTGGCTGTTACACCCAAAACACTGGAGTAAAGAAACAGCATCCCCAAAACAACTCATCCACTTTCAGTCAGACATCTGTAAGTTGATCCTAAGTGGGCCACAGGGCTTCTCCAAGAGGACAGAGGAAACCACTCTGTTAGCACCCATCTTTGCACACTCACACTCTACTGATTTGATTCCTCAAAATACACACTACACACACACACACACCACATGGCCTGCTCGCTCAGACACACACACACACACACACACACACACACAGCATCATGGCCTCTCCTGAATTATTCAGCCTGGTGGCGGAAGCCTGTGTCTAAGTGACCTGACCTGTCTTGAGTGTACTGCAACAAAGAGGTAATATGAGATCCGGAGTCAAAATCCCCATAGGGAATTCCAGGTAATCCTAAAAAAACTAAAATGAAAAATGAAGAATATCTCTGTCTAAGACCATACAATTTGCAGAAATTCCTTGGGTGTGCAGAGGACCAAGATGTTTGTATACCATGCGATTAATGA